ACCTAGGGTTTAGGGTTTAGGGTTTAGGGTTTAGGGTTTAGGGTTTGTGTTATAGATTCCTCTTCGGCACGAAAACCACATTTTTAATTTGCATCTTTTTTCTTTTTTCTTTTTTCTTTTTCCTTCTTTTTTCTTTCTTCTTTCTCCTGTCTCTTTTCTTCTCTATTCTCTAGGGTTTAGGGTCTAGGGTTTAGGGTTTAGGGTTTAGGGTTTGTGTTATAGATTCCTCTTCGGCACGAAAACCACATTTTTACTTTGCATCAATTTTGGGATACCGCCGGCGGCGAATTTAAAAAAAATTTCAGAGAAATCACCTGGCAAGAGATAAAGACAATGGTAGTTTTTTTTTTTTTTTTTTTTTTTTTTTTTTTTTTTTTTTTTTTTTTTTTTTTTTTTTTTTTTTTTTTTTTTTTTAATTTTAGTTTGGTTATGTTTCTTTAGTTTTGTTTGCTTTTATTTTATTTTATTTTTTCTTTTATTTTTTTATTTTTTTTGGTTTTATTAGTGGTGCTTATGTTTCTCTAGTTTTGTTTTTTTATTTTAATTTAATTTAATTTTATTTTATTATTTATTTATTTATTTATTTATTTATGCATGCATGCATGCGTATGCTTTAGCGGATCAAATTACACACAAACACAAACACAAACACAAACAAACACATGCATGCATGCATGCATGCATGTGTTTTTTTTTATTTTTTTTTTATTTTTTTTTTTTATAGGCGTTAGAAATAATAAAAGAATTTCCTGCTGCTGATTTATCGGATCGTCTTCACGGCGATTTAAGCGGATCCAATTTTGCGGCTATTGCAAAAGAAAGTGCACATATTGCGCTTACTGAGGCTTATAAAGGTATTTTATTTGTTTTATTTTATTTTATTTGTTTTTATTTGTTTTTATTTATTTTGTTTATGTTTGTATTTATAATTGTTTTGTAATTTAGTGGTGGTGGCAAGAAAAAAGAAAAAGAAAGTGCACATATTGCGCTTACTGAGGCTTATAAAGGTATTTTATTTATTTATTTTTATTTTTTTTGTTTTTATTTATTTTTATTTATTTATTTTTATTCTGTTTATTTGTTTTTTTA